TAGACAAAAATGTCAGTTTTGCTTAAGTATTTTCATAAAGTCAGTAAAATGTGACGACGGGAAAACAAAATATGCTTTAATTGACCTTTCTATCTACTAAGTCATTACTGTTTTGTGTGTTTTAAACGTTCTGAAGATACTATTTAACAAACCTCCATGATTTTTAAAGAATAAATCTTCTTTCATCTTTTCCCTCTTCAGGGGTCTCCACAGTGAGTCAGCCTCCTCCATCTCACTCTGTCCTCTGCATCCTCTGTCCTCACTCCAACTACCTCCTTGCCCTCTCTAACTGCATCCATGTATCTCCTCTTTGTCTTTTTTCCTGGCAGCTGCATTTCTAACATCTTTCTATCAATATACCCACTGTCCCTTCTCTGGACATATCCAAACCATCACAGTCTGGTCTCTATAACGTTATCTCCCAGTTGTTCAACCTGTGCTGTATCTGATTATCTCATTCCTAATCTTATCCATCCTTGTCACTCTGAAGGAGAACCTCAATATCTTCATTTCTGCCTCTTTCAGTTCTTTCTCCTGTCTTTTTGTCCATGTCTCTGTCTCCAGACCATACAACATAGCTGGTGTCACCACTGTCTTGTAAACTTTTCCTTTGACCTTTGCTGACACCTTTTTGTCACAAACCACTGCTGGAACTTTTCTCCATCCACTCCATCCTGCCTGGACTCTCTTCTTCACCTCTTTACCAAACCCCCCATTTTCCTGAACAGTGGACTCCAGGTACTTGAAGTTGTGCACCTTTGTGACGTCTCTTTCTTGTAGCCTTACTGTTCGACTTGTCTTCCTCTCATTCACACACATGTACTCTGTCTTATTACGGCTGACTTCCATTCCTCTTGTGGGATTCTCGGTTCCCACCCCCTTTACTGCTCATCGACACAGCAACTAATCAGCTGATTGGCTACACCTGCACCTCGTCTGGCAGACCTACCTGTTCACCCTGCACTACTTAAACCCCGGTCAGACACTCATTCTATGCTGGAGCATTGATTAACTTGGGTGACTTCTGCGACAGCTTGTCAGCCTTTGAAGTGTTCTTGGGTTTTGCTAACCTGTTGTTGTTCTGCCCACCAGTTCTGTTTCCTGTTCCTGTGGACCTGCCTGTCTTCTCCTTGGACCTCTGGCTGGATCTGGTCGCATAACCTGCACACCCAACTCAGCTCAGCAATTCACACTCTGGACATTGGCCACGACATCCCTTTCAATACCTACTTATCTCTCTGGATCCCCCCTCGTCACCAAACGCTGTCTCCTATCCACCTCGGTGCCACCTGCGACAAACAAATACAGTAGGAAAGACTCCCACCTATAAAAAACAATCAAATAAAACATTATCATCAAGATACTCATCTTGTCCTCTGCTTCTCCCCACAGCAAACCCATCACGTTTCCTGCACTGTAAATAAACATTCACCATTTTGTATCCTGTTGTCCTCATTTCTTTTTGGTCTGCCAATTGGGGTCTAAAAAACATCATCATGTTACCTCTTCTTTCAAGTGCATACCTCCACCTCTCTAAGTTCTCGTCCACCTGTTTCCTGTTCTCACCACAGATCTTAATGTCATCTGCAAATATCACAGTCCACAGGGATTCCTTCTTGACCTCATCCGTTAGTTTGTCCATCACCAGAGCAAACAAGAAGGGGCTCAGAGCTGATCCTTGATGCACTCCCACCTCCACCTTGAAGCTATCTGTCACCCATACAACACATCTCACCACTGTCCTCATACATATCATGTACCAGTCTAACATACTTCTCTGCCACTCCAGATTTCCTCATGCAATACCATACCTCCTCCCTCGGCACTCTGTCATATACTTTTTCTAAATCCACAAACACAACTGAGTTCTGTCTGACCCTCTATGTACTTCTCCAACTAGCAGTAATCATTTCCTTATTTTGAAAGAGTAAATTAATGATTATTTTATCCTTTGGTGATCTGATCTCCACCCACTGAAAACAACATTTACAATTAAAACAAAAACGTATTTCAACAGAGCAGACTTCATTCAAGCTGCTGCTGAGCAGGGCTTTGCTTTCAGTATAGTGATTTTTTTACAATCGTGAAAAGGCAAATGTCACAAATTAGGAATCCAAGCCTGTTTTGTGAGAACCGCAGCCTCATAGCTCAGGTCACCAGTTCTTCACAGGTCAAAGGAGCAGAGAAGTCCAACAATAATCACGACTGAGAACCTGGATGAAGTTTATTATGCTTTTTTTTTTTTTATTTATTATTATTTTTTTTTTAAGATGTTAAGGGCTGTCTCTAACATGAACAATTTTGTCAGAATCTGTGGGTTTTGTTGGTTGGTTTAAGGGTTTTATGTGTTTTTGGTCGTTTGTCATTTCTCTTTATAAGTTCATTCATTAGTGTTTTCATTTCCTTTTCAGTGCCTGTGTCATCATTTCACCTCTTTTTATTATTAGAATTATTATTAACAAAACAAACAAATAAATAAATAGGTCTGCACAGTGTATCAGTCAGTCAGCCTTCTCAGCGAGAAGGTTGTCGGTTCAAATCCCGGTCCGGGGCCTTTCTGGTTGGAGTTTGCATATTTTCTCCATGCATGCGTGGGTTTTCTCCAGGTACTCCAGTTTCCTCCCACAGACCAAAAACATGCATGTTAGACTGACTGGAAATGCTAAATTGTCTCTAGGTGTGTGTGAGAGAGTGAATGGTTGTTTGTCTTGTTTGTCTCTATGTGTCCCGGTGATGGACTGGATACATGTCCAGTGTGTCCCCCACCTCTCACATAGCTGGATATGTGCAACAGTGACCTCCATGACCCGACAAAGTTGGTAAAAGATAATGGATGGATGGATGAATGAATGAATAAATAAATAGGTTTGTTGTAGATAATGCACAAATGACTGAGAATGAATACTTTTTGAATTATTTAGTAATAATTCAGTTGGATTTAACTTTTCTGCTCCAGTATTTCTCTCAGCCTGCCACACCCACGCTCACCTGCTCCTGATGTCAGGTAGGTTTATCCTCTTACCTCATCAGTCCAGGCCTTTATATTCAGCCTTTCTCCACCTTCACATCAGTGGAACAATGGGGCCTGTCTCCTCACATCAGACAACGTTTAGCTACCATGTCAACATTTTTTTATTTTTTTTTATGAAACATTTGTTTTGCTCAAGTCTGTCTGCCTTCTGGGTTCAAAACTACCTGAAACCGGGACTATTTTGAAGTGAGGCATTCAGTAGGAATCACATAAAAATGTTTTTCATTAATTATTTTAATACAAAAAGGAACAAATCACACTTACAAAAATATTTAAAAAAAAAAAAAATTTATAAGACTATAAAATTATTATGAAAAAAATAGAATTAAATACGTGTCAGAAATTGACAGAATCTGTGCTCACGTCTATGTATACATTGGATGTTTTATTCTAATAACAATATTTCAAATTTGTAAAGCTAAAAAAAAAAAAAAAGGAACACACATTTTTACTAAAACTGGGAAAACAAGATGCTTTTTAGAAAAATGTTCATTACTTGTAATGTTAATAACTGCTGTACCGTACACCTATGTCAATTAGCACAGAAATGTTATATTGGTTTATTCATAAACACAATTTTAAATGCAAAGTTCCACAAGAAGTCCTGTATTGTGAAGGATGTATGAATGATGTTTAACAAATGTTTCCAGAACAAAACAGCACAAATGTATTAGAAACACAGAGGTAAAAGAAGAAAATTATATGCACGTGCAAAAAGTAATTTATGAACTTTTTATTTATTTATAAATATTTCACTCCCATCATTGGTTGCACAGGATGCCGAGGCTGGTGGAGAGAAAACGCAGCAGAATAAAAACAGAAGGAGGAGGAAAAATGAGAAAAAGAACAAGCGACGGAAAGGCAGACAGCACTCACTAAGGAGGCAAACCCTCTTTCCATCATTATCCTGTAAAATATCATTTGATTGGCTGCTCGGTGGCAGGGGCCCCCGGTGGCTGCACAGCTCTGTCGTTGGGCTAAGGAAGGAAACAGCTTTTCACTTTTTCTGTCAAAACTAGCTTTGCACAAATGGTATCACTTTAAATGCCATGACAGTGAAAGGTGGAAGAGAGTGTGATGGGCCTAAGGGTATACATAGACCCCATATGCTGGCGACACTGATACAAGTGTAATTCTAGACTATTAGAGTGACACAGGAGATTCCCCCAACCCCTCACCACACACACACACACACACACACACACACACACACACACACACACACACA